AACTGCAGCCTCCGCCGCCCAGGTTCAAGCAATTGTCCCTGCCTCAGCCTTCCGAGTAACTGGGATTACAGGTGCCTGCCACCATGCCCAGCTAATTTTTATATTTTTTTTAGTAGAAACGGGGTTTAGCCATGTTGACCAGGCTGGTCTTGAACTCCTGACCTCAGATGATCTGTCCGCCTTGGCCTCCCAAAGCGCTGGGATTACAGGGTGAGCCACTGTGCCCAACCAATAATGTCTACTTTCTAATTGGGTTTTAAAATGTTTTTACCTGCTTCTTCAATCAACTCTTAGCTCATTAACATTCAACCTTTCTTCTTTGCTCATTTAGAATTGGATGTTTCTCACTAAATATTGCTGTCACTGTATCCCAAAACTTTTCAGGGGTAGTATTTTCCTCATTATTCAGTTCTAAGCATTTTTAAGTTTCTTTATAATTTCTTCCTTGACCCATGTGTTGTTTACATAGGAATGTTTTTAAATGCCACATGTATGGTGATTTTGTGTTCAGCTTTTGTGTACTGATTTCTAATTTAAAAGCAGTGGGAATACTGGGAAATCATCTTTATCCCAAGAGAAAAAAAGGTGAGAGCCATGATTCTCTTTCCCAATGTTTGGTTCTGGCATGACACACGTTAACTCTCTCATCCCAAACGACTCTAAAACTGGACAAAATACAGGAACTCACTGTTTCCAGTACAGGACTAATGAGAGTGAACAGCAGAGGGCTGTTTCCTGAGCAAAAGCAAGCAGGGGAGCGCCACATTCACCCTGGCCTGGGGGCATTTTCTGCCTAGGGGCATTTTCCCAAACCACAGCAAAGGGAAACGAAGCCCAAGCAGAAAGTGACAGTCTCACTGGACAGCAACAAACAGAGTTTAGGTGACAAGAATTTGTGGGACAGAAGACCAGAGAGGAAGGAGCCACCCAGAGGTCCAAGGAATCTAGGTGTCTGCCTCAGGTCCTTGGCTGAAGCCCATGCTGTCCACCTGCGGGACAAGTATGGGGAGGCCTTAAAGAGAACAGCTGCTGTCAGGGTAGGGGACAGGGCACTGAGAGAGGACACAGATGCCAGAGGTCTCACAGTGCTGGAGACAACGGAGTTCCAACCTAGCAAGGGGAACAGACCTTGGCAAGCACCCAGAACACTCACCTGAGATGCTACAAAAGCCAAGCCTTAGGAAAAATGATGTCACCCAAGAAGGCGGCTCTGAGTGAAACATTCCACTTCTATGATACACATACAAAAACCCTTAACAGGATAAAAGATTGGCTAGTCATTTCATTTTTGCTAGAAAAAATGTTAACATCATTTAGAGGATAATAACATAAGTCTCCATAATATAGCATCCATAATGTCCAACATACAATAAAAAATTACTATTAGCTGGGCGCAGTGGTGCCTGCCTATAATCCTAGCACTTTGAGAGGCCAAAGTGGGCAGATCACTTAAACCCAGGAGTTTGAGACCAGCCTGGGCAACATGGCTAAACCCCATTTCTACAAAAAATACAAAAATTAGCCAGGCATGGTGGTGCATGCCTATAGTCCCAGCTACTAGAGGGGCTGAGGTAGGAAGATGACCTGAACCCAGGAGGTGAAGGTTGCAGTGAGCCATGACTGAGCCACTGCACTCCAGCCTGGATGACAGAGCAAGACCCATCTCAGAAAAAAACAAAAAACTATTTGTAAAGGGGCCTGAAAATTGTACCCATAATCAAGGGATAAATGCCAATAGAAGCAGATCCACAAATGACCCAAATGGAATTAGCAGAAAATGAGTTTATAATAACTATTACAAAAATGTTAAAGAATCTTAAAAAGGCCAGGCGTGGTGGCTCACACCTATAATCCCAATACTTTGGGAGGCCGAGGCAGGCGGATCACCTAAGGTTGGAAGTTGGAGACCCGCCTGACAAACATGGAGAAACCCCGTTTCTACTAAAAACACCAAATTAGCCAGGCATGGTGTGCATCTGTAATCCCAGTTACTCGGGAGGCTGAGGCAGGAGAATCGCTTGAACCCAGGAGGTGGAGATTGCGGTGGGCCAAGATCATGCCATTGCACAGCCTGGGCCACAAGCAAAACACCCCCAAAAAAAAAAAAAAAAAAAAATCATTAAAAAAAGAGATGAAATAGGTGAAAAGATGAAAAAGTTGAGCAGAGAAATGGAAAAAAAGAACCAAATGGAAGTTGAAAAATATCTAAAATGGAAAATTAATTAGATGGGCTTAAGAGCCAATTGGACATAGGAGGGCAAAAGATCAGAATTCTAAGACAGGTCAGTTTGGAAGAGTAGGAAAGCCTGTGACCATACATATACACCGAGATCGGTTAGCAAGGTTGTGTGAATGTCTTCGGTGGCTCAGAGAGTGGGTTCAGAACAGGCAGAGGGCTGGGTTCAACTACGATTAGTGTTTGGCAAGCTATAATAGTGAGAAGAGGGCAATGGAGTTAAAGATGTTTGAACTAAGGTAGCTATTGACTCTAGAATCTAGGCTGAAAAGGAAATGAGACAACAAAGAGAGTACTGAACAATGAAGAAATGGTGGGGTCAGTGGACCTTGGGTGCCTATGTGTGCCAATGCATTAACTGTTGGATGGAGGCTGTAGGGCCTTGCTACTAAAATGTGGTCCCAGGGCCAGGAGCACCAGGAGCATCAGCACCACCTGAAGCTTGTGCAAATTCCCAGGCCCTGCCCTACATCTACTAAATCAGAATCACTGGGGCTAGGGCTCAGAAAGCTGTGTTCACAAGCTCTTTTGCTGATTCTGATGCTCGTTAAAGCTTGAGAACCATTATTCTAGAGTGAGAGGGCTGCAAACATTGGGGGACGGCACACAGTGGGATGCTTGAAATGGTTACAGCAATGACAAGGTCTGAAATACAGCTAGGGGAATGAGAAACCGTGACCAAGTGAAAGAAAAGATCATTAAAGATGCAAACTCCAGGCAGGGTGCCATGGCTTACACCTATGAAGGCTGGAGGATGGCTTAAAGCCACAAGTTTGAGACCAACCTGGCCACCATAGCAAGACCCATCTATATAAACAGGAAAAAAAAAAAAAAAAAAAGACTGTCAGAGGTGGCTCCCTTTGCTAATTTCAAACTCTTTCCCTTCCTTTCTCTCTTCACCCCTCTTGGAAAGGGCAAACTGTAAGACTGTCCTGCTTACAAACCTTCCGGCTGCAGTTGTCTGCTCTTCTCTGTGTTATGCCCTTCACTGAAAACTTCAGCTTCTGGCTCACTATCTGCCTGTCTTATCATCAAGCAAATTTAGCATCCACGTGGATAATTCGTCTAAGAGTCCAGTCACTTACTTCCTGGACCGTTGTATCTTTTTTGTTGAGACAGGGTCTCATTCCGTGGCCCACACCTGGAGTGCAGTGGAGCCATCTCAGCTCACTGGAACCTCTGCCTCCTGGTTTCAAGGCATTCTCCCACCTCAGCTGGGACTACATGTGCACACCACCACCCCTGGCTAATATTGTATTTTTTGGTACACCTCTGAAAATCTTAATTGTAGTAATTCCAACCCAACTCTGGGCCTCCACCTCCAACTTCTCCAGTTTTGTGGCTGACCTTCTTAACTGCCAGCCATAGGCATGCTAGGCTTCCTTGCTGATAGCACCCCAAGTTTGGCAACAATGTGTCTATCTTTTAAAAGGACATCTCCCAGCACCTGTGCACTTAAGGCTGTGAGTTGCAAGGACAACCAGTGAAAAATAAGCAGAACTGTGGTCAGGGCTTCTGGAAATGCACCTTTTAAGAGGACACAGGCCCCTTTTGCCCTCTGCTTCTCCCCTTCTTCCTGCCTGGAACCCTGATGCCATCATGGAGGCCTCAGAGCAACCCAGGACTCCCTACCTCCTGACTTCTAAAAGAAAGAAAAACAAATCACTAACTTGTTTAAGCCACTATTGTTCAGATTTCCTCAAATGTGCAGCCAAGTCAGCTTCTAGCACTAACACTTAAGGCTCTGGAATGGGACCTTTTCCTCCTGGTTCACATCTGCAAACCAAGAATGGGCCCTCCTCTTTTGAGAGAAGCTCCCAGGGGTTTCTTATGGACCTTCCCTTCTCTGCCTGCAGGGGCAGCCCCCACCATTAACTGACCCCCATATCTCATATTTGGCAATGTTTATATTCCTCCCAAGAAGAACAGGATTTTTTTTTTTTTTTGAGATGGAGTTTCGCTCTTGTTACCCAGGCTGGAGTGCAATGGTGCAATCTCGGCTCACCGCAACCTCCGCCTCCCGGGTTCAGGCAATTCTCCTGCCCCAGCCTCCTGAGTCGCTGGGATTACAGGCACGCACCACCATGCCCAGCTAATTTTTTTGTATTTTTAGTAGAGACGGGGTTTCACCATGTTGACCAGGATGGTCTAGATCTCTTGACCTCGTGATCCACCCGCCTCGGCCTCCCACAGTGCTGGGATTACAGGCTTGAGCCACCGCGCCTGGCCGATTTTTTTTTTTTTTTTTTTAATTAAGATGGGGTTTCACCATGATGGCCAGGCTGGTCTTGAACTCCTGACCTCAGGTGATCCACCCACCTCGGCCTCCCAAAGTGCCAGGATTGCAGGCATGAGCCACCGCGCCCGGCCGAACGGGATTTTATAGACTTTTGTCTTACGCTTCATGCCAGCAACCAGAACAAGGCTATACAAACAGTAGACACTCAATGTCTGCTACATTAACAAGGAAAACCTGAATTTCAATATTCTAGGTTGAAAAAGCCCTGACTGAATTGCCTAATGACCCTTTTTATCCTTGCCAAAAATATAGTCCCCTTAATTTACACATTCCAGGTTTTCTGCAACTGCCCTTACTTCTGACTGTTAAAGGTCATAAAAGTTCTCTGATTTCACCCAAGACCCTGCCTTCTTCTCCACAATCAGACTGGACTGGAGGAGGATGAAAGCACTGAAAGCAAAGTCAGCCATGCTCCAAAGGGTGAAAATGGAAGGCCCCGGAGCACAGAGAGGCCAGGAGACATACCAGGGGTGCCCGGGGCTGCTGGATCACATCGGGGGTCCTCTTGGGGGGCCTTTTGCTTGTATTCACGAACAGTTTTCGCTTGTGGAAGAGTTTGCCATTCAGCTCCTGGATTGCAAGTGTCACTTTCTGCATGGAGCCCAGATCTACAAATGCAAAGCTGAAAAGGGAAGAGAGAGAGGGCAGCTTTGGCCGGGCGCAGTGGCTCACACCAATAATCCCAGCACTTTGGGATGCCAAGGCGGGTGGAACACCTGAGGTCGGGAGTTTGACCAACATGGAGAAACCCCAGCCTAACCAACATGGAGAAACCCCGTCTCTACTAAAAAATACAAAAGTAGCTGGGCGTCGTGGGGGCTCCTGTAATCCCAGCTACTCGGGAGGCTGAGGCAGGAGAATAGCTTGAATCCGGGAGGTGCAGGTTGCGGTGAGCCGCACTACTGCACTACTGCACTCCAGCCTGGGCAACAAGAGCAAAACTCTGTCTAAAAAAAAAAGAGAGAGGGCAGCTTTGAGCACATCCCCAGAGAAGCCCAGACCTGTAGGGAGGCATCAAGCTCAAGCTGGAAGGGCAGTGTCCTCTCTCTGCAGTGACAGAAGATGAACTGTTCCACCTACACAAGAAAGCTACAAGTATGTCCAGGCTTGGGTCTGGGCCAGTGTGAGACACTGCCATAGGCCTCTAAGGAGCTGAAGAAATGAGTTGACTTTCACTACGCATCATATGTCTATGACTTTGAGTTTAATACTACTGTCCCCAAAAGTTCAAAGCAAGCCAGGTGTGGTGACTCACATCTGCAATCCCAGCACTTTGGGAGGCCAAGACAGGCAGATTACTTGAGCTCAGGAGTTCCAGACCAGCCTGGGCAACATGGTAAAACACCATCTCTACAAAAAATACAAAAATTAGCCAGATGTGGTAGTGTACACCTGTAGTACCAGCTACTTCAGAGGCTGAGGCAGGAGGACTGCTTAAGCCTGGGAGGCAGACATTGCAGTGAGCTGAGACTGCACCACTGCACTCCAGCATGAGCGACAGAGCCAGACCCTGTCTCAAACAAAGGTTCAAGGCACTTTTTACTCCCTTGAAAAGAAGGGAAAATGTTAAGTAAGTCCAGTTTTCAGGACTAACAAGGCTGAGGGTAGTATAGTAACTTATCTCAAGTCAGAAAACAGAACAAGGACTTGACCAAAAATACACCCAGGTCTCTGTACTTCTAAGCCAGGGTTGTGTTGATAAGACAGTTTTCGCTGCTGGGTCAGAGGGTTAAATATGGAAAGGGGGTTTCCCAAATGTCCCTTTGCCAAGTCACAGTGGGTGTGGATGTGGCGGTTGCTGGGCTAGTCTGCAACGTGAGTGGATAAGCAAAATGGACAGGGAGGAAAGGAGCTGCTTCCCAAAGAAAACAAAGGAAGAACAGTCATTACCATTTGCAGCCATTCTGGATTTTGTGGACATAAAGAGGGCTGAAGTCCTTTAGAAGGTACAGAATTTCCTCCTACAACAGCAGGGTTTAAAAGAGAGAGACCCAGAGACATGACTTACAACCAGTTCTCAAGGTTTCAGATCCCCAGCCAGCTAGTCTGTACCCAATTTAGCCCATACTTAATGAGGATCTATTATGTGCCGTATGTGTCAGGTTTTGTAAAGATAGACAAGAAGCGCGGCAGCCCTGTCTTCAGTGAAGCTCACCAGTCAAGCAGGGATGCATACAAGACAATCAAGTAAACAGACCATTTCATCACTACACACAGCTGGCTACGGGTGCGTATGGCCTGGCATTTAATCCAGATTTGGAAGGAAAGGAGGTGGTCAGGGCAGGCTCCCAGGAGGAAGTGACTTCCACAGCTTTGCAAGTACCTCCTCCTGACTGCTTCTCACCCCTGCGTGGCCTCTGCCCAGGAGTATGGTTCCCTTCCTCTTCCCTGGACATTTCCCATACCCTTCTCGACTCCTCTCCTAGTCTGCCCTCAGGCCGTCTCCCTCACCACACCCCTCCTCCCCGTCCTGCTCCATAGGGCTTGGGTTGTCGCCACAGAGAAACCAGCCTCCCCTGCTTTATGATAATGTCTATGCCACCCTGATGCCTTTTGGAGCTACACCCTATTTTTTCTCTTTTCTGCCAAACTCGTAGAAAGAGCCGTCTCCACCTAATGCCTCCATTTCCTCCCTGCCCACTCCCTCCTGACTGCCTGCACCGGGCTAGCTCCTGCCCTACTGAAATGCTTTTTTGCAGGTCACAGACGTGCGCCCGCAACCCATTGCAATGGCTTCACTTCAGGCTTCAGCTCTTTCAACTCCTGCCCGCATCCCTCAACAGTTCCTCCTTCCTTGGCTTCCCCACGAGCGTGTTAATGATTATAAAATTTCACAACCATGGTGAAAACCAATTTTTCTCTGGAAAACTCTTTTGGAAATAATGTGTATTTATACCGTCTTCCAAAGTCACTTTGTTGGCTTAGGAAAATAGAAATGCATTATGTATAACTCATTTTTCTCAGTCTTCATGTTTATATTACATTTACATTCAAATTTTCTAATTTGCTTTACTCTTAAATATTTAATGTTTATTATACATGAGTCTACAAGATGCTGAGCAACAAGCAATTTGTGAAAACGAGCAATGTGTGCTTAGCATTTTCAGTTCACCGAGCACTTTCATATCCCTTATTCCATTTGGTCTTCACACCCACCCTGTAAAGTACACATTATTACTGTACTCATTGCACGGAGGCATAAAATAAGGATCAGAGAGGTTAAATGACACCTCTAAGGCTACACAGCCAATTTAGAACTAGGATTTGAACTCCAGACCCTTAACTTCAAATCCTACATGTATTTTTTTTTTTTCATCATATCATGCAAAACCATAGTTTTCTTCTCAGGTTTTACCATTATTAAAATAAAATAGAAGGCTAATATTTTGGCAGGTATCAGGAAACCATAGCCTTGGGCCAAATCCAGTCCACCACCTTTTTTTGTAAATAAAATTTTACTGGAACACGGCCAGGCACATCATTCACTTGTCTACAGCTGCTTTCAGCCTATAATGGCCTTCAACACTTAAACTATTTACTATCCAGCTGGGCACAGTGACTCACGCCTGAAATCCCAGCACTGTGGGGGACCAAGGTGGGCAGATTGCTCAAGTCAAGAAGTTCAAGACCAGCCTGGGCAACATGGTAAGACCCTGTCTCTACAAAAAATACAAAAAATTAGCTGGGCATGGTGGTTCATGCCTGTAGTCCCAGCTACTCTGCAGGCTGAGGTGGGAGGATCGCTTGAGCCCAGGAGGTCGAGGCTGCAGTGAGCTGAGATCATACCACTGTACTCCAGTCTGGGCAACACAGCAAGACCCTGTCTTAAAAAAAAAAAAAAAAAAGAAAGAAAAAGGGAAAACAAAACAAAAAATATTTACTATCTGACCCTTTACAGAAAAAGTATGCAAACCATTGTGCCACATCAATGCTTCTCTAGCCTGACTACAGACAACACTCGGTTGGAGAGTAATTATTTTTTCCCTTTTAACTACCAATGCAACGCCTAGCCCACCCCAGGTACACAAAATCAGAAGTGCTAGGGTTGGGACCAAAGCATCCGTGTTTTTTAAGAAGCTCCTCAGATGATTTTAAATACACAGCCAAGGTTGAAAATGAAAATGGCTGTTCCATGGTATCAGATTCAGGAAGCATGCACTTCCAGAAAATGTACCTGAGGGTGTGAGGAATCGCCCTCACTCCCTACAACACACACACACACAAATACTGCAAAGTGAGTACATCAGCAAAATGGACAGGGAGGAAAGGAGCTACTTCCCAAAGAAAACAAAGCAAGAACAGTCATTACCATTTGCAGCCATTCTGGATTTTGTGGACATAAAGAGGGCTGAGATCCTTTCATCCATAGAATTTCTTTTCTTTCTTTCTTTTTTTTTTTGAGATGGAGTTTTGCTCTTGTTGCCCAGGCTGGAGTGCAATGAATGATGCGCTCTCACTGCGACCTCCACCTCCCGGATTCAAGCGATTCTCCTGCCTCAGCCTCCCAAGTAGCTAGGGTTACAGGACCCTGATACCATGCCCGGCTAAGTTTTTGTATTTTTAGTAGAGACGGGGGTTTCACCATGTTGGCCAGGCTGGTCTTGAACTCCTGATCTCAGGTGATCTACCCTCCTCAGCCTCCCAAAGGCTGGGATTACAGGCATGAGCCACCGTACCCGGCCCATCCGTGGAATTTCAGTGTTCTCAGTGAGGGTGCCCCATCAGCAGATGCTGCTACAGTTGATAGTTATCACTAGGAATTTCTAAAATCTGAAGGCGTGCCCTAATTTTGACAGTTTTCCTGCCCCTTAACAGTTTAATTAGTTTATTTGAAAATGTTTTGATCAATTACAGATTTGAAAGGAGGTTTGGTACATTAAGCTAAAATTGCCTCATGCCCCGCAGGAAATTTTACATCTCATTTTAAATCATAAAAATAACTTATTAGGATTTTTTAATTACAAAGACATTGAATGTTTATTGTAGAATATTTTTAAAAACACCAATAAGCAAAATAGAAGTACTTTCCATAATTCCTGCCACCAAAACACGAACACTGCACATCTATAAATATCATGAGATCACACTGTACCTTCTGCTTTGTAACCTATTTCACTTAAAGACACATTCCTTTCAATCAATCACCACCAACCACATGGTTTAAGGGATCTATAGTCTGCTATTAGTTAAGGCACCAGCATTTATGGACCACTGACTTCGCACCAGACAGGTAGGAGGTTACTGCAGCCATCTATGTGCCAAGTAATTTCATGCCCATCCAACAGGCAGCAATTTAACAGCTGGACAACACCAAGTGTTTGTGACAGAGGAACGCTGTGCTGCTGGTGGGGGTGCAAGTCAGTCCCCTTCCTGGTCCAGCTGTGAGGCCCTTGTGGCCCCGATGCCCCACGCTTCAGTACAGGTCCCAGAGGCATTCACACCGTGCACACCATTATGTGTACAAGCTGGTTCACTGAAGCTGTTTGAGGTAGCAAAAACTAGGAAAATATTGATTTGAACCATGTGAAACTGAGGATTTTGAAGATTAAAAAATGGTCCAATACCAGCGATTTCATATGATACAACCTAAGAACAGGAATGTCTATTTGCAGGTAAACACACTGTGGTAGATTCTTACAAAGGAATATTAGACAACAGCCCAAATTACTGCCTAGAGCTGAACACGCCAACATGGACGTGATCAAGGCAAGCCACAAACACACAGACAGAAGGTGAGGGACCAACAGCCACCTGCCCAGCACCTCAGCTCCCTGCTTTCCAGGGCACACCCTAGACACAATCATTCCCAATGCCTACCCCCAAACGACAGCTTGGAAACCCGCACTCTCTGACCCCCCCTCCCATCTTTCCTGCTCACACGTCTGGTTCTCCAACTCCACTCCCCAGTACCGTGACTCTTCAGACTCTGCCACTTTCCACCCTCCTGCAAACTCCTGACTCTGCCACTTTTCTCCTAACCATCCTGCTCCACCCAAACCTGCAATGTCCTTGCTGTGCCTTTTTTTTTCCCCCTCTGGAGACAGGGTCTGGCTCTGTTGCCCAGGCTGGAGTACAGTGGTGCGATCTTGGCTCACTGCAGCCTCCACCTCCCAGGCTCAAGCCAACCTCGCACCTCAGCCTCCCAAGTAGCTGGGACTACAGGTATGCGCCACCATGCCTGGCTAATTTTTGTATTTTTTTGTAGAGACAGAATTTTGTCACGTTTCCCAGGCTAATCTGAAACTCCTAAGCTCAAGTAGTCCACCCGCCTGGGCCTCCCAAAGGGCTGGGATGACAGGCATGAGCCACTGTTCAACGCGCCCAGCCCCCTGCTGTGCTCATTAACCAGCTTAGATGCCGGGGTCTATCAGCGCAATCAATACCTGATGTCCAGCACTTCACAGCATTCCTGCCACCTACCCCTCATCATCAGCCCCCCACTCTCCCAGAAAAAACTACTGCACACACTTGGCACACCCTTTCTACTCAGCGGAGAACCTGATTTTTATTTCACTGAGAAAAGAGAAGCAACCAAAGGGGAACTTCCATTCTCCTACCACCCCCACATCTGTACTCATCCTTCTACGGGGAAGACCTGTCCCTGACCAGTCCTCTCCTTCTCACCTTCTCGGGGCCTCTGCTGCTAAATCAGCTCCTCTCTTTCCAGCATCCGGTTCCCTCTCCGCTGCATGAGCATACAAATTCGCCAAGCTAAGTCTTATCACACATAATACCTCTGACCCCATACGTCCGTCCTGCTACCACTCCATTTTCCTACTCTCCTTTTTGATGAAAATCCTTAAAAGTCATCTATGCTACCTTCACTTCCTCTCATTCTTTCATTCAACAGTTATTTATTAGGTGCCCACTCTGTGCTAGAAATGTGTTAGGTGCAGAAAGCCTAGCCCTCCTGGACTCATCTTTTTTGGGGAAGAGATCATCACTAAGAGTAGTAAGTAGC